GGCAATCTCAATGACCTCAAGGTAGTTCCTGGGGTCCTCAGCCTTGATGTAAGACTCGATACCGTCGGCGACTCGAAGACCATCAAGCTGGGCCTTGGCAACCTTGCTCCAAACCTCGGGCAGGTCAACCTCCTCACCATAAGCCTGGGCACGGTCAATGCTGACGACGTTGTCAATTAGGACATCGACGGCAGCAGACTTGTTGTCGGCCTTCTTGTAGATCTCAAAAGCCTCCTCGAAGAGACCAACCTCAATGCACGAGGCGGCAATATCGTCGGCATTATAGTTGTCGAGCTTGTGGATGTAGTCCATCACACGAGCCTTATCAGCCTTAGCAGCAGTGAACAGAAGCAGGTTCTGAAGGTTCTCATTGTCACTGAAAGGTGAGGGCTCCAGAACAATCTTCTCGAGAAGCTCAATAAGCTCAAGGGGAAGATCGTTCTCAAGGAAGGCAGACACAGCCACGGACACCTTGGCAGGGTCGTTGGCCTCGGGAACAGCCGTGGCAGTGACCTGGTCGACGACGGAACGGCGGTGGATGTTGTTCTCGCTCAGCACAAAGCCCCAAAGCTGGTTGTCAGAACGCTCAAGCAGGTATCGAGCCTGAGCCCTATACATGGAGTTCTCGTTGGTGATGTTGACGAGCTCCAGATCATTCTGGCCCTTAGAGTAGGCAATGTAGGCCAGGTTGGGGTCTCGCTTCTCGCAGTACTTTCCAACAGTGAGGGTATCGTACTGGTCGTTCTCCTTGAGGAACTTTTCGGGGTTGTTGTTGGAGTCGATGTAGATCTTGGCAAGAGCGTTGAACACGGCCTGCTGCGTGTTGCCAGCCTGGAGGGTAGCCTCAAGGAAGGGCAACAGAAGCTTGAGTCGGTTTCGTGTCTCGACCTCGGAAACCAACTGATCAATGCTGATTGACTGGGCATTAACCGTAGTCAACAGCTGCTTGATAATGTTCTCGTCACAGTCGACATCCAACAAACCGCCAATAACCTCGGGAGTTCGACCAGGGTTGACACGCTGAACATACGACTCAATGGCCTGGAACTGTTGGTTCTGATAGAGGTACAGAATCAGGTCATGGACGAAGTTGAAGCGGTCACAGACAATGATGAGAGGAAGCTGCTCGGGGAGCTTGGCCTCCTTGAGGAAGTTCTTCACCTTCTCAGGGTTGTACACGTTGCTATCGCGACACAACCGCTCGACCTCGTTGAACTGGCCCATCTTAGTGGCAGCCTCGATGTACTTGAAGTGCACATCGGGGTCTTCTGACAGATTCACGACGCTACCAAGGTAGTAGAAGAGACCCTCAGCGGTCTTGTACTTCTCAAAGAGGTCGATCAGACGAACGGCCCCGAGAAGATCGGAATACTTAGTTGCGATGGTCACAACAGACTGCAGGTTCTGGCGGATGTTGCTCTTCATCATGGCGTCCAGGCAGTCCAGAGATTGCTCAACAGAGAGCTTGCCAAAAAAGGTGGTCAGCCATTCTGGGTTAAAGTTGGGAGAACCAGGAATGTTGACAATGACCCGCTTGATAGACTCGGGATCCTCGTAGAGCTCGAGAGCCTTCTGGGGGAGGTTGGCCTGCTCGCAGAGCTGGGCAATGCGGGACTTGTCGAAATGGGTGAACATCTCGTTGCCCAGGATGGCCTCAGCAACCTGAGGAGCATGCATGAGGTTCATCTCCAGAAGGCGAGTCTGGAGGCGAGCATGCTCAGGCTTGTTCTCCTTGAGAGCATCAAGCAGGAAGGCAGTGGCTTGCTGGATCAGACCCTGACCCTGGAAGATGTCACACACACGCTCAAAGTCGACCAAGGGACCTTGCTCGCTGTTGGCCAAAGCGCTGGCGAACTCGGCACCCTTCTCGGGGTTGACGCGGGTGATGTGCTGAAGGAGCTGGATGTAATCAGGCTGGTAGCCAGTCTGAGCCGAGTAAGGGAGAATCTTGTCGAATTGGCCAGTCTCAGCGAAACCAGCAACAACCTTCTGGGGAACATCGGCCTTCAGGTAAATGGTGAGGGCCATGCCAACATCGTAGGGGCGAACCATATCACCGAGCTGCTCAGAGCAGTCCAGCTTGCCCTCCTTCAGCCACTTCTCGAGCAGGTGCTTGCGGTTCTGCTGGAGAACAGGCTGTGCCAGCTCAATAGTCTCATGTCTGTTCAGGGCACCCTTGTCGAGAAGCATTCCAAAGTATTGAAGGGTGTAGGCCATCTGACCAGGCTGAGCAGGCAGACGCTTGAACTTCTCTATCGTCTCGGCGGTTCGCAGGAAGCCTCGGGGCGAGTTGGCAGCAATCTTGGCAGCCTCCAAGTAGTTGCCAGAGTTGAAGAGCTGCTCGAACTGGCGAGCATAGAGGTTATCGGCGCCAGGAAGACCAGCTCTTGAAGCCATCTTGATGGCCATCTCGGTGTTGGCAGGGTTCTGGAGGAGGTAAGGGATGACGTTCGTGTCGTCGATGGTAACGAAGAGGACTTGACCCTTTCGGTTGATACCGACGATGCCCGATGAGTCGTTGTCGGTGCATGTTGTGAAGATGGTCTCGCTCGAGATTCGGTTCATGAAGATGCATGAAGCAGTCTCAAGGTCGTAAAGGTGGATAAAGCCGTACTTGGTGACCATGTAGACGACACCGTACTTCTGGGAAATCTGAAGGGCGACGGGGAAATCGCTGGTGGCTTCCGGGGGGAAGAACATGTCGACAGCCTTCTTCTGGAAGACGGGGTTCGACTCGGCGTGATCGACCTCGACGATGTGCAGCTTGGCGCCAGTTGCTGTTCGAACAGCAAAACTGAAAAGCTTGGTATCTTGAGGAGCACCCTCCAATCGCAGGGTGCCAAAGGCAGCAGCGTGACCCTCGATGGCCTGGCTGATTCCTCGGTCCTTAGAGTAGAGTTGCATGGCACCGACCACGCGGCCTTGCTGGGATGAAATACCAACGACGACCATCCACTTGCCGTCGCTGTTGACTCGGTAGTTGATGATTTGGCAGCCCTGTAATGTCACGGTCAGAACCTGGATAACACGTCAGAGTAGCAGAAGGCAGCTCACGTTGAGGTTGGCATTACGCTCAAAGACCTTGACGGGAGCGTCCTGGCCAGCGTCATAGACGTTCCAGTGATAGACGCTGGACGTTGTGACGAGACCAAGCTCGTTCTCGCTGATCCACTTCCAGAACTGAACATCCTCGTTCATGGTACACGACTTGAGCTTCTTCTTCTGCTCGAGATCAAAGATCTGGAGTGTCCTAGACTGAGCCTTGAGGGCAATGACTTGTCGGTTCCAGTGCATGATGGCACTGTCGGCCTTGATCGGCCGACGAGTAACGTTGTTACCATTCTTGAGCTCGACAATAACAACTTCGGGTTGGGCGGCCTCGCTCTTCTTTTCTCGCACGCAAACGTACGAGTCGGACTCGAGTGTCTAGCTCGTGGTTAGCTCATGGTCGATTAGGCGCCGATGCAGAAACGTACGCAGGAGTTGAAGCCGATGCTCTGGGTGTCCACGCCCACGTTGGCGAGCTGGACAACCTCCTGGAACTTGATGGGAAGGGGCGCCATGATGCCGGTATGGCTTATTATCAGGTAAAAGGGACCGTCGTCAAATCGATACTCCTAAGCTCGACTGGGACAAAGGAAAGTGTCGACGATGAGTTGGAGTCGATCTCGGATCGACTGCCAGCGATTGCGTGGGAGCGTCCTTAAAAGGTCGATGTAGAAGCTTCCATGCGCCGCGTGGCACGGGCGGAGCGGATGGATGCACGAGGCGATCGAGGAAAGCAAAGGGCGCAGGCGCGAAAAGGATCGATAAGAAAAGAAAGAGAGACGACGTGAGATTCGCGATTATCCGTCAGCTGCCGGTGATGATGCAGGCGATGTCGTCGTCGTCGTGGCGGGGAGGAGGAGAGATGGAGATGGAGGGTTTGTTTGGTAGGAAAGGAGAGAAGCAAGCAAGCAAAGCAGGAGGTCCGTCACTTTTTGGGTTACGTTACCTGTTCTTCTCGGCCGGGGGCAGGTTCAAAGGCGACGGACCGTCCAGGGCAGGTGCTGCTAGCCTTGGGTCCTTGGGCTGCAGGCTCACAGTGAAAGGGGACCCACAAGGTACGTACCTCCGCTAGGGCAGTTTGGGTGCTCGTGCCTGGCAACCTGGCCTCCACTGGCCGTCAGCTGCTGACAGCTTATTTCAGGAGATGAGCCAATGATTTCCACGGGAAGCCACAATGTTCCGCTCCGGGCGAGATTGACCTTGGTCTTGAGATGTTGGCGAAAAGGGGGAGGCTTAAAATAGGCAGTGACGTGGGCGACGACAAGAGTTGAGGCCAAGAGAACAGCGAAATGCATGATTATTGAAGCAATTGGACTTGCTTAATCACTATCATTAACCCCGAGAGGTCCATATTCACAGAATCTTTAGAGTACAGAACACATGGTTTACAGTGAATCATTGTGCTGATTAACACGCGACGTCATCCACATGCATAAAGTGCAGCTCCTGAGAAGCTCCAGGCTGCACTTTAAGAAGCTGGAAACTATTGAACAGCCCGTCACCAATCTCCAAGAGGGGAAATCCGTCCATACATGGAGACCAGGAGATTCACCGTTAAGAGCTGGATCCAATTGGTCAGCTGAATTTCTTCGTTCACTGTCGAAGGAGCAAGTAACGCAATCAACATGATTCATCAAAAGTAGATGTTTGTCCAACAAAGCTCCATGTGGCTCATCCATGCTTCATCAACCAGCCACTTTTCCCCATCGAAGAGCTGCACGCGACAACGACGCTCTTTCACAAGCCTCAGTTGACAAAAACAATGAACTGCCGAGTCGTCCTGCTGAAACACAGCTGTCTGTCTCAGCCACATTCGCCTAAAGCCCTCGAAACAACTGCTTGATTTCATAGCAAGGTCTGACAGATACTCAAAGCCGATTCCACATCCAGTCAACACAGCTCTTAAATAAGCGCAATTCATCCAAATTGCAACAGATCGTAAAGGCCCCAACTCATGACAAATGTTCACGGTCGATATGAACCGTAACAGCTGTCTCATCCCCCTCAAAGTCCTCACAAAACGGACACTTGACAGCCTCGACACCACTGGGCGCAGTCCCTAGCCTCTCATCCAAGTCTGGCATGAAATCCGCCAAGCTTCTCGGCGGCGGCTCCGACGCAAACTCGTCATCCCTCCGCACATCGGTATACCGCATCGTGAACCTTGAAGACGGCGTTGCCTTTGCTCCAGTATCTTCTGCTGCGGCTGAATTATTGCCCATCCGCTGCACTCTGCCCACTTGGCCGTCGCGCAGACGTACTTTTATGCCCCGTGGGTGATTGCCTCTCGTGAGGATGTCCTGTACTATGCCTTGTGTCTCTTCGCCTGTCGGTTGGTCCTCTTTCAAAATGATGAATACGGATGCGCCGGGGACAACTTGCTGGACAGTTGGGACTGTGCCGGCTGCTTGCTGTGGTGTTGCTGGCGCCCGAGATGATGACCCTCGCTGATTGTTCTGACCCTGCCTGTTCTGGTTCTGGTTTTGCCGGGGTGGGCGAGGTTGGCGGTTGCGAGGTCTGTTTGGTCGGTTCATGGTAGCAACTTCTAGCGGTGAACGAGAAAAATATCCAAATAGCCGGGTAGATGAGATGGAAGAATATGATGTTTGCGTGATGTTGACTTGGGATGAAGATGTGTGAGTGGTTCGCAAACATGTGCATCAATGAAGCTTTGTTTGAGGGTTACCTACCCTGTACCGACAGAATCTCCTGACGCGCTTTGACATAAACCAGAGTTAAATATCACGAAATGAGGCCACAAAAGAACAAAAGTATGAGGATTAATGTCCCGCATTATTAATTTAAATCCTATGAGATTATCTAAAGTATTTGTAGTTTGTTCTAAAGTTGGGATTGTCAATCCACCTCCAAGTCAACGCCATTTGTTGGTGTTTAAATAGGTATTGCGAGAAGCAGCCTGTGCTCGCGATGAATATCCAAATGATACAAGAAAAATTGCCAAAAATCTAAGCATCTCCCGTCTTGGCAGGAGCCTTCTTTCGAATATCCTTCCATCCAATACCAAACGAACTAAAGAACATGACACAAGACGCTGCCACAGCGAGGTAAAAGGTTGCGTTCACAGCCTTGGAGTAAGACATCAAAGCCTCGGGGAGATCTTTTGTCGACACAACCTGTCGAACACCAGAGGCACCCGCATCAATGATCTTATCCACGTCGAGGTTTGGAAGTCGTGAGACGAGCTCATCGTGGAGCTTGTTGTTGAAGATGACGTTGGCGATAGAGACAAAGATGGCGCCACCGAAAGTTTGCGAAAAGACGAGCACGGCGGTCGCGACTGAGGTCATCTCGGGGCTCGTGTGGGCTTGCACTGCGATGATGGACATCTGCATGCCCAGCCCGCGACCGAAACCAGCCAGGATCTGGTAACCGGCCCAAGTGACGGTTCGAGTATGGGGGCCCATGGTGCTGAACAGTCCATTGGCGACAGCGGAGAGTACTGCACTGACGGTAGCAAAGGGCAGATAGTATCCCACTTTTTGAGCTAATAATGTGTTAGTTACATTATGTTATCGGGAAAGGAGGGAGGCAACTCACCAAGAAAACCACTCGAGATAGCAGCCGCCAGCTGGCTAAGGATACTGGGAAGCATATCGACACCACTCTCGAATGGTGTAGCCTCCTTGATGGATTGGAAGTATATGGGAATGTAGTAAGAAGCCACAAGAATGGTAGAGAAGAGAAACAGCTGTGTCAGACACGCAGTCCAGACCTGCCTTGTTCGAATGACGGGGATAGGGATCATGGCGCCATTGCCAACACGGTACTCCCAATACATGAAGATGGCGAAGAGAGCACCACCACCGCAAAACAGTCCAATTATGGTGGCAGAGTCCCAGGCGTAGTCGATACCTCCCCACTGGAGGGCGAGCAGGAACATGACGGTAAAAGGGGCGAAGAGGACGAAGCCGGTGAGATCGAGCTTGGAGGTGATGATCTGGCGGGCGGTATCGGTGGTTCGGACTCGACGATCGGGGACATGGACGACCAAGATGAGGGCAGTGCAGACGGCGCCGATAGGAAGGTTGATGTAGAAGCCTGGATAACAAGTCAGAATATTTTCTATCCAATACTCTGGACAGGGGACACTTACACCATCGCCAAGTTGCGTACTCAGTAAACGCTCCACCGAGCAAAGGTCCAATAACCAAGCCAAGTTGAGCACCAGCCATGAGTATACCAACCAAAGCAGGGCGTTTGTGCAGAGGGACCGAGAACGCAATCATGGTGAGCGCTCCGTTTTGGATTCCCGAGCTGCCAATGCCGGCAATGGTTCGACCCATGATCAACGTGATGGAGTTTTGAGCGACGCCGCAAATAAGACAGCCTAGCTCGAAGAGAAACAGGAAACCCAGGAAGAGCCACTAAAGACTGTAAGTATCGCACGAGTTGATGGATGGTGGCTTGCTTACTCTTGTCTTGAAGTATGTGTATAGTTTACCAGAAAGGGGTTGTAGAGCAGCACTGTCGCATGTCAGACAAGTTGTATAATCCACAAGAAGAATAAAAAATGCGTACCTTGCAAGATTGTATGAACTACCATACCATCCAATGTCTTGTAGCGAGTGGAAATCAGACGTGATTTGAGGGATTGCCTGGATTCGGGTTAGGTCACGTATACAATGCATCACAACACACTTACAGTGACAATGATAGACATATCCAAGAGCATCAGGAAAGCAGCAAGAGTAATGGAAATCATCAGACTCGCGAGCTTCCATCCACCAACCCACTCCTGTTCTTCATCTTTTGGCGTATCATCTCCAGGTGTCTTGTCAACACCATCTTGCTCCGGCTCATGTAGCGTAGGGGCATCGGATTGACAGTCATTCTTCTCATGACCGGCAATACTGCCACGAGGTTCGTCCTGCAACTTTTCGGTGATTGTCGTGGTCATCTCAACATGCAATGACTTGACTCAAGTATCGAGGTTTAAGTGAAGTGACAAGAGGTGGCGGACCTTGGAGACAAGCCGGGAACCCGACATATTTGAATGGTTCGCCATTTCAGGCAGATAAATTATCTCCGAGATCATTACCGGGATTTTGCGTAGGGCTGCGCGGAAAGCCTCCTGATCCGGGCATCGGGGTACACATGGTGGTGTTGACGCCGGGGGTGGAGAGCGGAGCGGAGTTGAAGATTCCGTTTGAACCCCGGTCCCGACCCGTAGGTGGTATTGCGGCCAAATAACACCCCCCTTTGAAACATCCCTCCCCGGGTTCGGTGCTCTTTTAAAATCCCGATCCCCATTTGCTGACATGTCCTCACATCTCCCACGGCCCAAAGACATCCGACATCCATGTTATGTCCCCGAAGTCGAGAAGATTCGGGTCTGGAAGATTCATAAAGGTCTGGGCCGGATTTGGTGTCATTCTTGCTCGACTGGGGACTACTTGACTCGAGGATGATGGAGTGTTTCCCAGATGTCGCGATAAAATAGGTTCCCATGAAGAACGGATGTTGCGAATGATCATGGCTCCCTTGGTGAACAGCGAATCCTCATCCATCATTGCCCTGAAAGGGTATACGGTATCCAATCGGGTGAACAATTCGATGACCTGGTCGAGTAGCACAAGCAAGTCGGCCGTATTTCGCACGAGATCCTTGTCCCAGGCAGGATCCTCAGAGGTTGTGAGCCTGTATAGGGCAACTTGGATCTGCGAGAGCTGTATATAGAGAGCAAAAGGAGCACCTGGTAGGTCTTCGGGTGGCATGCCAAAGAAGACATCATACCATCCTCTGATTGCTTTGAGGCATGAGTACATACTTTCAATGCGTTGGTTCATGGGAATGGTCTGCATGAAGAGTCCAACCGAGTTGACCAGCACCTCGGTCGCCAACGAATGGGCCTCCAGAACTCCTTCTTTTTGTTAGCGCACCTCACAAAAAGATTGTAGATATCACGTACTGTGCGGAGTTGGGCTTGGAGACAGTCCATCACGGATCTCCTGCAACCTATTAAGGAGGCCCCTTCTAAAGACATATGTCGGCGCCTGGCTCGACTCGCCCATGACATCGCGAACTAAAAGCTTCTGTGCTTCGTCGGCAACGAGTTGGTATCTGATAAAGGCGACCAGCACCTCGTCAGAAGGATGCTCCTTTTCCCTCTCTAGGTTGATGAGGCAGTCCTCCATATGCGGACTCCAGCGGAGGGTGTCCATCTTGCCCACAAAGGAAGATATCCTGGCCAAGTCAGCAACTGACTGAGAGTTAAAGAAAGCATGAGACTTACACTGAGGTCAGAAACCAGAGTGACACGACGGTCCTCCGCTCTTCCGGAGTTCGGAGCCGGGGTGGAGGAGGCCGGCCTCCCCACATTTTGAAGCAGATTGTAAAGTATTGCTCCTCAATCGGGGCCTTCATCAAGCTGAGGTCATAAACCAACGTAACCGCCAACTGACAGAATGTGATGATGAAGGGTCTTGCGCCAGGTCCAGAGACTAGCGTGGCCCTGCTTCGTGTTAGAGCTCATCCTGAAAGACGGAGCTAGTAGTTCAACTTGCCAAGCAATGTAACAAACAATTCCCAGAAGAACATCCATGCTCCTCTCATGGTCAACGATGACCCTCTGAGCGGCCTCTTGACGAACACGCTCCTTCATCTTTACTTGTTGAGGATAGGATGTGGTGGTGATGTTCATGATACATAGCCACAGAAAGGGCTTCTCCTTGCGGAGATTCTCAGCTGTCTGATCTTTAGGCAAGACCATAAAGGGAAATCTCGGTAGCCAAGATCGAAACTTGTCTAGATAGATTTCTGCCTCTGCCGGCGTCGGTTCCGGAAGCAGATAGCTGTCATCGCTGGGAAGCGGTGCCGACTCCATCGGGGTTTCTATTGAGCTAGCAGTCCCGAAAGCATGGGGCATGCTCGAAAAGTTGTCCGAGGATGAAGTGGCAGCAGTCGCTAGCGAGTCTAAACGACTGGGGGTGTGAAGTACAGACGAGGGACAATAAGAGTTGTGGGGAGGAGGATGTGTCGTGGTAGAGCCAGGAGTAGTAGTAGGGGGAGTTTGTGGATGGACACCATTGGCAGACTGAGTTGCACGTAAGATGGAGACAAGATCATCGAGCTTCTCCTCTAGCTGTGCCGTTCTCGAAGATGTCGTCTTTTTGGCAACTCTTCTCCGTGAAGTTGCCATTGGTTGGCAAGACTTGCCTAGACGAAAGCACCGTTCGCAGTTTTGACCTCCAGGTCTCAGGATACACTTGCACTTGGCCCGCTGACAGGCTGTACAGGCTCGGCCGTACCCAGCTGGAGTGCCAGAAGCGGCCACATCAGGTGGTGCCATGGTTTGGGATAGACGGACGCCAAGTCCGGTCGCACGATAGGGCTCAACGGGATTTCACAATGCTTGTTTCTGTCTTTTTCTGGGGACGGGATAGGACGAGTGCTGGTAAAGTCCGCGCATGCATCTCCTAGCTTTCGTCTGGCAAAAAAAAAAGAGGTTCGGAGTTGGGAATGCTTGGGGGGTGTGATGAAAGCCGATCGATCAAGTTGTTTGTTGCGCTGGGAGCTGGGGGATGTTCTGGTATTTGTCGGATTTCGGATTTCAGTTAACTCCGGGGGAGCGATTATCTCCAAGCGAATGCGAGCAATTGTCCCGCACCCGACACGCGTGTTGGTTGCTAGATCTAGATTGGGCACAGACTGCGAGAAGGATTGCATAAACAAGGAGTTTTAAGTGGTCGTTGGACCTGGATGTGGTGGATGATGGAATGGATGGTTGTTTGGGTTGTCGGACAGCTTTTAAAGCCAACTCCGTGTCATGGGTCAACCAGGCAGAAAGATTTCCAACTGAGCGCCAGCAACAAGGTATCATTTTTACAATCATGCTCATAAAAACAATGGCTAGGGTGATGCTTTTGTGATCGGAAAGTCTATCAGTCCGAGAGTGAGTGAGATTAGGGGTCGCTCGCCATTGAAGCTTGCGCGTATCATACGACCAACACGAGCGTTGATGTTGAAGGTCAAGTGAGGACATCCCTTTGTCGGATAATTTGCCGTCTTAGCCTAGAAGTTGGCTTGATCTATTCCTGAAACTTACTAGCAGAGGCTGGACTATCGAGAACCTGAATCCCGATCCAAAGCGTGGTCCTGGGTGGATTGAATGGCGCTCGCGACACGTGGAGTGTGATTGAGAGGGAGCCCACAGTGAGCTGGAACCCTGCTATATCCACCGTGACATTCGTATCAGGAACATCAGCAGAAGGAGGAATTGATAGATAACGCTCTATATACCATCGCACAAGAACCCAATTCACTGTTTAATGTATCATACATGTGTATGAAATACTCTCAGACTTAACTTTGTGACTTCAATTGCAAGATGCAAACCAATCTTCGTCTTCCCTTATTGGGCAAACACATGGCTCAAACGGCCTCCCATTGGCTATAAACCGTTAGCACCTGGCACCAATGAAAGCCGGTGTTTCCCGCTCGTTTCAATCGCCAACTCAATTCAACTCCATTCACGTCACAAGCCAAAGACAATCTTTAACTTTCCACCTTCACCGCGGACGACCAACCATGGCTGCTCCAACCGTCGCCGCAGCAGAAATGCTCCCTCGATTCCTCCTCCCACGCCTCAGCTGGGGTCCTCCGTCGCAAGTTGTACGGCCCTTGGTTTCGAGCCACCAGCGACGCTCCTTTGCCTCCTTCCAGACTGCTTCTGCTACCCCTCGATGCTGCGCTCGCCGCGCCGAGAGCCCGATCCTTAAGAGAGCGTTCCATGCGACAGCCGTACGACAGCGAGATCATCACTTTGACACACTCAAGTTTGTCAAGCGGTTACAGAGCGAGGGGTTCACCGAGGAGCAGTCAGTGGCCATGATGAAGGTCTTGAATGACGTTATAGAGGAGAGGTACACTCGATCCCACATCATGCCCAGTCTACATCTTGCTAACCTAATCTGCAGCATCCAGAATCTCACCCGTACAATGGTCCTCCGCGAAGACGCCGCCAAAGCAACCTACACCCAGAAAGTCGACTTTGCCAAGCTGCGCTCCGAGCTCCTCTCGGCCGACAGCACCGAGTCCAACACGACGCGCACGGCGCACGAGCGCGTGACAAACGACATCGCCAAGCTCAGCAGCCGCCTCCGCGACGAGATCAGCCGCACCCAGGCCAGCGTGCGCCTCGACCTTAACCTGGAAAAGGGCCGCATCCGCGAGGAGGCCGTCGGCCAGGAGCTCAAGATCAAGGAGACTGAGACAAAGATTGAGCAGGAGGTTGCCGCCCTGAGGGAGAAGCTGGAGCAGGTCAAGTTTCAGACCCTGCAGTGGTTGATGGGTGTTTGCACTGGTTTCGCGGCTCTGTTGCTGGGTGCTTGGAGATTGCTCATGTAAAGAGCGGCGTCAGGGGTAAGAGTCATGGTGTGGACGGGATATTAAGTGTCAGCCCGTCACCTATACGGCATAGATTTTCTAGAGTCATGAGTTTGAAAACAAAATAGCATGTAGCCATGGACGTTCCGGTTATGGGAGCTTGTTCTTAGCTTACAATGGGTATATCACAAGAATGAACATATGCCCGGTTACACCGTCGGTAAATCAGGCCGAACCCGTGGGGTCCCGATACAATAGCGTCTCCGTCTAAGCCGGTCAGTCATCCCGGAGTTGGCAAGTCCGGAACTTGTTCTACTTCCGCGGGTTAGGTAGGAAACAATAACCCAATTCCTTCAAAACCTTCCCATCAGGCATCAATAGTTCAGCTTCAGCTCCCTCGTCTCACCGCGCCTTCTGACGATCTGTCAAACCCCACCCCCGCCCCCACGTCCACCCCGCCATATCGACAGCTCCCGGGCGGTAGGGTAGATAAGGTCACATTGCATCTCATCTTGATTCGGATCCCGACCTTTTCTATCATTCTCTATACATAGAGAGTTACCAAGATACAAACTGTGAAGCCTAAGAGACGACACATACTCGATCAATCTCTGTTCTGCTAAACCCGTTTCCCACCTTGAGCCCCCACGATAGCTTCCCCAGCCTAATCCTCACCTCACAATGGCAGCCAAGCCCAAGGTTCTCCTACTAGGCGGTATCGAGCAGTAAGTACCCCAGAAGTTCCAGCACTCATCTAAGCCCCTATGATTACTCAAAAAGGAAGTCACTGCTAACTCCTCCAGCGCCTATGAAGCCTGGGATTCACTAGCCTCCATCGCGGACATCATCAAGCCCAAGTCGACTGACCGAGCTGCCTTTTTAGAAGAGTCCAAGTCTGGAGTCTTTGATGGAGTTGTTGCTGTTTATCGAAACTTTACGTCTGTGAGCACTACTGGTCTTGTTAACGAAGAGCTGCTTGATGCTCTTCCTGATACGCTCAAGTTTATCTGCCATAATGGTGAGGCTCCTTGTTCTCAGGCATGATTCGCATATACGCCCTTCAATTTTATATCTTGCATACTCCTATTAAACTTGCCCTATTCCCTCTTTCAGGATTCATACAAACTCGAGTTCTATCACTAACTTCTCAGGCGCTGGTTATGACCAAATCGACGTCGCCGCCTGCACAGCCCACGACATCCGCGTCTCCAACACACCCACAGCAGTAGACGATGCCACAGCAGATATTACCATCTGGCTACTTATAGGAGCTCTCCGAAACCTCTCCAGTTCAGTCCTATCCCTCCGCGCTGGAAAGTGGCGTGGAAGCCCTCCTCCCCCGCTAGGCCACGACCCTGAGGGCAAGGTGCTTGGTATCTTAGGCATGGGTGGCATTGGTCGTAATGTTGCCCGCAAGGCTCGTGCCTTTGGTATGACTATTCGATATCATAACCGTCAGCAGCTCTCTCCTGAGCTAGAGGAGGGCGCCGAGTATGTCGACTTTGAAACGCTGCTGAAGGAGAGTGATGTCCTGAGTCTGAACTTGCCCCTCAATGTAAGTCACAACACCACAACATCACTCTCTAATCTTACACACGTTTAGCCTAGCACTCGACACACAATTGCAAAGGCCCAATTCGAAATAATGAAGCCTGGCATCGTCATCATCAACACAGCTCGCGGCGCAGTCATGGATGAAGCAGCACTTGTAGATGCCCTCGCATCCGGCCAGGTCGCCAGCGTGGGATTGGATGTGTTTGAAAAGGAACCTGAGATTCACCCTGGGTTGCTGACGAATGAGAATGTGCTGCTGGTTCCGCACATGGGCACCTATACCGTCGAGACAGAAAAGGCCATGGAGGAATGGGCCATTGATAATGTCCGGCTGGCAATTACAGAGGGGAAGCTCAAGAGTATTGTCACTGAGCAAAAGAACTTGCAGTAAAGTTGGAATTGTTCAAATACACTGGGATGGAGTGACTTCTAGACATGGTAGCAATAGAAAAAACACAAGTTTACGAATACAAGTTTACCAAGAGACAATAGCCTCAACACCATCATCTCCCCGACAAGGTTCAAGTCATCACATCAGAGAAGCAGTTATCAAAGTTTGTTGAGAAGAATTTCTTTTGAAGTTCTACTCTGTCCTGGCCACGGTTGACGGGCCCTATCTCGAGTCATCATCTCCTTCCATCTCTATGGGGAGGTCTCGTCGTGGATCATGAAGATCCTTTCATCCATTCATCATCCGTTTTTTATATCTCGAAGGGGGGAATCATATGATTAGCAAAAAAGCCAACGCCATTTTGTTGAAAAAGCAAGATTTTTTGCCCCTCCCTGCACCCTGCGAAGAAATCTCCTCTTCACGATGGAAAGAGAAGCATCCCGAATAAGCAGAAACAAAGAAGAGAAGAGGGAAAAAATCAAAAAACCGCAGATGTCCTTGTAACTCTCCCAGCCCATATGCCATGCAAGTTCATGCTGTTGAAACTAGAATTTTGCCAGTTGTCGTGTCGATAGAAGAGGGAAAGTTCGTTACACATAGGAGTCCAGTTGAAGGATCCTTGGGTATGATTACATCCGCTTAGTAGCGGTAGATGTCGGCCTTGAAGGGGCCCTCACGGGTCAGGCCGAGGTAGTCAGCCTGGACCTGTGTGAGGGTGCTGAGCTCAGCCTGGCAGTGGTCCAGGTGGAGACGGGCAACCTCCTCGTCGAGGATCTTGGGGAGGACGTAGACGCCGACGTCGAGCTTGCCAGTCTTGGCAAACTCAACGTACTTCTCACCCCAAGCCTTGTCGCTGGCCTTGAACAGCATGATCTGGGCAAGGACCTGGTTGGTGAAAGAGCAGGACATGACGAAGGAGGAGTGGCCGGTGGCACAGCCAAGGTTGACCAGACGGCCCTCAGCGAGGAGGATGATGTGGCGGCCGTTGGGCATGAGGAAGCGGTCAACCTGGGGCTTGATGTTCTGGACGGAGGAGGCGTTAGCCTTGAGCCAGGCAACGTCAATCTCGATATCGAAGTGGCCAATGTCTGGGAGATGTTAGATGATGAGCTAAAGAGAAGTTATCAGGAAACTTACTGCAGACGATGGCGTCGTTGGGCATGGCCTCGAAGTGAACACCAGTGAGAATGTCACGGCAGCCAGTGGTGGTGACGAAGATCTGACCAATCTTGGCAGCCTTCTCCATGGTGGTGACCTGGTAGCCGGCCATGGCGGCCTGGAGGGCGTTGATAGGGTCAATCTCAGTGACGAGGACGCGGGCACCCATGCCGTGGAGGGCCATGGCGCAGCCCTTGCCGACATCACCGAAACCAGCAACAACGGCGACCTTGCCAGCAATCATGACATCGGTGGCACGCTTGATACCGTCGACAAGGGACTCACGGCAGCCGTAGAGGTTGTCGAACTTGGACTTGGTGACGGAGTCGTTGACGTTGATGGCGGGGACGAGGAGCTTGCTCTCCTTAAGCATACGGTAGAGGTGGTGGACACCGGTGGTGGTCTCCTCAGAGACACCGTAGCAGTCCTTGAGCATCTCAGGGTACTTGTTGTGGACGAGGGTGGTCAGGTCACCACCGTCATCGAGGATGAGGTTAAGCTTCTTGTCATCCTTGAAGGCAAGGAGCTGCTGCTCGAGGCACCAGTTGTACTCCTCCTCGGTCTCACCCTTCCAGGCGAAGACGGGGACACCGGCGGCGGCAATGGCAGCAGCGGCGTGGTCCTGGGTGCTGAAGATGTTGCAGCTGGTCCAGGTGACCTCGGCACCAAGAGCAGTCAGGGTCTCGATGAGGACGGCGGTCTGGATGGTCATGTGGAGGCAGCCAGCAATGCGGGCACCGGCGAGAGGCTGGTCGGCAGCGTACTTGGCTCGGGTCTGCATGAGACCGGGCATCTCGTTCTCAGCGAGCTCAATCTCCTTGCGGCCAAAGGCGGCCAGGGAGAGGTCAGCGACCTTGAACTTGTGAGCGGGGGCAGACATTGTGGATGAATTGGTGGAGGAGGAGTATGAGAGGGAAAGAAAGAGAATAGAAGAGGAGGAAGAAAGAAAAAGGGAAGAAGAAAAGGGAAGAGGAGGAATATGTAGAGGTCAAGAGGTTGAGGACGAGGAGAGAAGATAAGATGGGAGCGGGGCTTTTCAGACTTGACCTCCTGCTCGATTGGAGGGGGAGAGGGGGAGGGGTTGGTGGGCGGGCGGTGAAAACGGCAAAATGAGGGGCAGAAATTTCTTTGCCATTGAGAAGAGACCAACAAACCACCTCCCACCAAGAGGCGGGGCAATCACCACGGGCATGCAACCAAAAAAGTCGCCGCTGTCCATCGGTACTTGTGGACGGGCGGATGGTTCGCCTGGAAACGCCCCTCCAGCGGTACCTTTGGACTGCTGACGAGGGGACCTGAGGGGCGGGCACCGGCCGGGGAGTGGAGCTGCGAGAAGCCGGCGTCAGAAAAAAAAAAAAAGAGGATCTTTTTCATCAGCGACAGCTCCCTCACATGATGGAGCCATCCATTGTACGAATACGGATCCATTACGGTGCAAAACACTCTGATCTAGCGAACCGGGAACCACGTTGAGTTTTCTCGTTCATTGACTGGATCACCTTCTCTGAAACTCGGTTGCTACCTCTCGATATTGCCGCGTCTCACTCAGCTAACTAGAGAGCTCTCTGCTCGGGGACCCTGATGTTCCCTTCAAACTCGAATTCCCCGCTCGGAAGCCGAGAACCGCCTCCCACAGCAACCGTCAATCCCCGGCCGCCGTTGGAGGCTGGGGGGCCAATCGACCTTTCCTGTTGAGCTAGGTGCTGATCATCTCAAACCGACCGCCTTTCCTGATGTTACGTTGTGCCTGTCCAGCATGGCACAAGCTGAATGGCCACACAAGAGAGACAACAAGCAGCTTGACCATCATGCATGCCGTTGTAGGTTTGCCAGAGACAATGTTGACAACAAACGACAAGCTACAAGCAAGATGCTCCCTTCAAGTTGCCGCAAGACACATAAATCCAGACAAGCATTA